GAGTGATACAGGTAAAATTCTTCAACGTGTGAGATTATCATCTCATGTTTTTAGCATAGGAATATGATTTAACCATAGGTCTGAGAGCATGATGGAAAAATTGATACCTCCATATCAAATTTTACCTGTCTGTAGTGGAGTGGTAGTTGTGTTTGGAAAATTACAATTCAGAGACAAAACTGTATATTTACTCAGCCAATTGAATAGTGTGATATGGACCAGAACTTAGTTATAAGTAAATTGGCTTTATAAGCAAAGTTTGTGAGTTCCTAAGGAAAAGTAATACATCATCAGCATATAGGCTTATGGTTTGAACTCTTTTGATATCTAGATTTTGTTGGATGCTAGTGGCTTGATAAAATTAACAAAAAGTGAAGGAGAAAGCTGGCAGCTCTGTCTGGTGCCCCTCTGTAGGTTGAAACTATGTACTAATTAATTAAGTCTTGTTCTTTAGGTAATGATGTATTAAATATCCAGCTTCTGATTGGTGGTATGATTCTTTTCTGTGTGAGAAATAGACACCAGTGCATGATCATTGATAGTGACAGGATGAATCTGAGTGTCTGTGTTATCCCTCATAATGGAGCTTCTAACTAAAAAGTGAGATTGTGAGTGGTGTACTGATGAAAAGAAGGTGTAGTCCCTGAAAGTGGGGTGATGTGAACGGCAAACATTGCAAAGACCAAAATCACACATGTATTGTTTGAGAATGTGTGTAGACTGCCAGTTCAAGTTATGAAAAAGGGAGGGTTAATCAACATTTGGCCCATATATACTAGTGATACACAGATCCATATTTTCAATATATAAATAAAGTATTATAAATATACCTTTTGGATCTGTAATAGCGTTGTGAATTTTATGTATTTTTTTGTTACGTAATATGGCTACACCTCTTTGTTTCCAGTTGTTTTTCTGCCATTTAAGTTTAGCTTGGTCTGCGAGTCCTGCTTTTGGGTCCCACCCTTGCCTGCCACATAGAGAACCCTGACAGTGTGTTGTACAAATCAAATCACGTCATTCAACTTCAAAAGCAAAAATGTTCTTTGAAATGTACACAGATGTTTTGTTCATACAGTATGAATCTCATGTAGAAAGGGAATGTCTGCCTGTAAGTCATTTAACCAGTTAGTAATTTTAAGCCACTTTTCCCTGGAACTAAGTCCACGTACATTCCATGCGACAAACATCAGTGTGGTGATGTTTAAACTAACTGGTAGTGTGCTAAATGTTTATTAAAGGTGTGTGTCTGTCAATCTATCTTGTATGGTTGTATGTTTCTGTGCTGTATATTTGTGTTTGTATGGCTGTGTATTGCTGTGTGTGTATGGCTGTGTATTTGATTAATCTGTATGTTTATGTGGCAAATTGGAGCACCGAAGACAGAGCATACATAATGCTGAGCGCAGAAAGAGAAGGGAAAATTAAAAAAAAAAAAAAGTTTTATTAATTAAATATTTCCAAAAGAAATTAAATACTTTTAAAACTATCTGCAGATGAGTTATATTGCTTTTTTTTTCATTCTTTCAATTATTTGTAAATTGAAGTGTGGCACCTTAGGGTTGAGCAAACTGCAGCATTCATACACTGTAGGTAGAAAACCACCTGAATAAAGCTCAGCTATTACAGTGGTGTTAAATAAATTAAATGCATAAAATAAAATAATTTAAATACATTTGTTCATTTGCTTGTATCTACAGAGAAGTCGCTGTCTCATTGTTTTGTATAATAAAATCTAAAATTCAACAAATATGGAGTTAATTATGCTATTTCCATTACACCTGTATACATACCTACCTGTAAACTGGGTTTTGCAAGAGATTTCGCAAGGTGGCTACGTGAACGCGCCCTAAACCTACCTCAGCCGGCGACTGAATAATTAAATGTGATTGGTTCTTGCAGTGTCATTGTCATTACTGACCGCCAACCAATCCGGCCGCCGTCCCGTGACGTCAGGTTCTCCAGGAGTCTCCGTTTAACTCGGTTCAAACTTCTAATCAGAATTGTTTCTGTGATGTGCGGCAGGGAGAAGTGGCAGGACAGTCTGTGAGCAGATTCAGCAGGCGCTGAAGTTCACATGCCGATGTGGAATTAATTAGAATAGTCGTGTCAGTCCTACCTGAGCCATTTCATCTACTTTCTGACCCGGAGAAGAGTGTTGGCGGCCAGAAACGGACAAACGGTATCCACGACAGACCTGACAGCCATCATGTCAGGTTTACCGCTAAAGGTAACGCTGAGTAACGCTTTTTTCATTCTTCACGCTTAGTTCAGTGATCACGGAGGCAAGAGTGCCAGAGTTAAAGGTAGTTAATACTACCTGTAGCCGACGGTAATTGCTTCAGTGCTTAACAGGTTCACTGGATTTTCCTGTTTGTCTTGTTTGCTTCTCCTCGATAAGTTAGCTAATACCTCAGGGTGGGTAGTTATCATAAACGTAAAAACGAGCCGGTTTCACGCAAAAAAGACCACACCACCAGAGCTGTCTGAACTTCTTCGAGCTTGTTGTTGTGGCTACGGCATAGTTTCTCAGGCTTCAGCTTGGATTTTCTTTCTTTCTTTCTTTTTTTTTTAATTGCGTCCACTTACACTTATTTTAACAGCATTAAACCATTTAGCCATTTGTTAGCCTAGTTAATATAAGATCCTTTATTGAACGTTACTTTATCTTTAAAGCCCAACACCATCGCCTAGGACTTTGAAAAGTTCTTTTAGTTTTGATTGACAGAAGGTGTGTCTGTTCACGAGCAAAAAGTCATAGAGCTTAATAGCCTGGTAGTGCCTAACACAAAGGACACATCCTCAGCTTTTTTTCTTTCTTTCTTTCCTTTTTTTTTTTGCGACTTGCTACAGCTGGAAGAATGAGTAATGATCAAGTAGTTATTATCGGTTTATAATTGTTTGGGAATTTGTTTCATATTTTAACTTTTCTGGGCTTTGTTATCACTGGCTATGATATAGCCAGAGACACTGTAAGGATTCTGAATTGAAGTCTATCTAACAAAAAAGAAACAAAACTTCCTAGAAAAACATAAGCTTTTTATTTCATTGTGACCATTTAAATTAAATTTACATTAATAAAAGTGTCCAGAATATTTTTTCAGAAGGCCATGCTGACTTAGAGGGCCATTCACTGAACCCTGGAACTGTGTACTTGTGTAATCAACTTAAAATGCTGTGTCAGTTTTTCAGTTTAAATCTTTCCAGTTGTCCTTATCACAATTTGTTTGATCAGTAGCATCACAGAGGCTAATGATCAAACAAATTGCATTATTTTACATATCTTTACTTGTATGTCTCACTCAGACGTCCCTACCAATGCAGGACAGATGTTCATCACTCCATACAGAAAATATTGGGGTAGTGTGTACTATTTATGAACAAACACAATGTTGTATACATGGATAGCTGTAGAAGAAAAATGTATAATTTGAGACAGTCTCTTTGTAGGATCATGAGAACCCGCTGGAATATTCATACCAGAGTAATGAGTAAAGCAGCATAGTGTACAGGTGTCAGACAGACGCTGTAAGGTAGTTTATTATTATAATAATAATAATAATAATAATAATGGATTGGATTTATATAGCGCTTTTCAAGGCACCCAAAGCGCTTTACAATGCCACTATTCATTCACTCTCGCATTCACACACTGGTGGAGGCAAGCTACAGTTGTAGCCACAGCTGCCCTGGGGCAGACTGACAGAAGCGAGGCTGCCATATCGCGCCATCGGCCTCTCTGGCCAGCACCAGTAGGCGGTAGGGTAAAGTGTCTTGCCCAAGGACAACGACCAGGACAGAGAGCCCGGGGATCAAACCGGCGACCTTCCGGTTACAGATACGCTTCCCAACCTGAGCTACGGTCGCCCCCAATAGATAGAAATGTTTTTGTTTGTTTGTCTCTTTGGCACACATATGTTGAATTATAAGTTAAATAGCAGTGCAGATTAATGACAACCCATTCCCTCCAGATTATTTCACATAATACATACAGGCTTTCATTGGTTTACTGGGAGTGCTGTTTGGCCTTTTAGGACATTATGTGCTTGGATGGACCATGTGCTTGGTGTCAAAAACTGCAAGTTCTCTAGTGGTGAATTAAGGCTGGGTCCAAAAGGCAGCAGATTCCTGTAAACTCCATGTTAATGGTTTAATCCAAACAATGTTGGCCTCTGGACAGTTTCCCCCTTAGTATGAGGGTAATTAGAAAAAATGTAGTATTTATTTTTATATTATTAACTCCTGTTTTTATATGTGAGGAAGTTGGTTAAAAAATTCCTTTGTACAGTTGGCACAAATTCCTTACGTCAGGAATTACATTGGAAATTTATTCAGATTCCCATTGTGGTGACCCCTTGTGAATAAAGGATAAGCGAAATGTAGCTCTCATCCACCTGGATACTGTTGAGGCTTAAAGTTGTTGTGTGCCCTCGCTAATTAGCAGCTGTGCTCACACAGTCAGTTTTGGCTGATAGCATTTACTTTGCTAGATTTCATCTCTGCTAATTCGTAACTGAACTTGACCTTGGACAGTATTTGTGCTCCTTGTGCCCTATGAACCATTTATTATATTTGGCAAATAATATGGCCTAGTGTCCAGTACAGATGTTTCTGCATTAGTGTGGCTGACTGAAACTGTTATTTCACTAACTTGGCACTTATTTTAGATCAAATGTTTTGCCATTGTTTGAACAAAGCAGTAGAAAGGAGTTCATGTTTTCATAGAGGTATAAACGTATCCTGAAACCTCTTAATGGGAGATTGGAATGAAAGATCTGTCTTTAGTAAGGCTCACTAGTTTTTGCCCATAAGAGGGAGCCATTGTGTCATTCGCTGTTGTTGATGCAGTGTTGGTCCAGATCGATGCTTTTGGTTAACATCCTTATCAGTTTTTTTCTGTTTAGCTAGGTGATGATTTTCATTTCACTTTGGCTGCGCCAATCAGGTCATTTTAAACTAATTTCATTGATTCAGATGAAATTACATTATATAGTTTAGTGTAATTGCATCTTCTAATTGTTTGTCTTTGTACTGCTGATGGTTTTCCAAGTTCTTCTCAGTAGCATTGGAATGTGTCGCTGTGCTTTTCTTTACTGCTAGAATTAGCTACAATCACAATACCCAAAGTTCATATGCTAGATAAAATGGAAATGCAGTTGCCTGAATTTGATAACTTTTGCCAACAACAGGTGTGAAAGAAAGTTAAGACAGTGGCAACAAAAGATTGAAAACGTTGTATAATAATGATGATGATAGACTTCCTTGACAACTTGCTACAAACTAAATAGGCATCAGGTCAGTAACAATACTGTAGTATTAAAAAAAAAAGTTGTATGAAGTCTTTCTAATACCAAAATCTGAAGAAGAACAAAGAAGTATGCCTCTTCCCTCTAAAATCAACATGGCAGCCCAGCTTCTGTTTGAGTTGCATCTGAACATTCAAACACTTCATACCTACTGTCACACCTACTGCTTCCCCAAATCACTTGTTATGTACACGTATTTCTGTTTAAAGGAAGTAATCAAGAAAAGCAACAGATTCCTAAGAAGGGAAAACTTAAAATAGGAGACATTGGCATGTTTACATCATACATTTAGGGCTGAATATCCTTAATTAGCAGTCACACCAATAAGAGACTGAAACTGTGTTATTGTCTTACAGAATGGGAATCTGAAGAATCTGGAAGAGTGGGATATTCTTGACCCAGAGTTTCAACAGCGTTTGGAAGCTGCTCGATCAGTGCTCCGGCAGCAGATCCAGCGGGAGCTGAAGATCAAGGAGGCAGCTGAGAGGCTGCGACGGGCAGTCACCAACCGCAAGAGTGCAGCTGATGTGGAGGGCCAACTTAAGGCCTCAACCCGCAAGCTGGAGAAGCTGCACTGGGAACTGCAGGAACTCAATGCAAGGTCTATGGCCACACAGAAAGACAGTGCCATAGGTAACAAAATCTTTTTTTCTTCGTGTAGAAGGAGGAAAACCAGTAAGAGTACAAATCCATTTGTTTCACAGGTTCTGTTGCATTTAACAAACAGAAGACAAGACCTTAAAAAAGGGGGGCTAGAACAAGGTCAGCAGAATTCCAATACAAACCCAGATCCAGTTTCTTAACATAGGTTTGACTGTTGCTGACTCGTGTTACGGATGTTAATTAGAGAGAACAAAAAGGGAGTCAAACTGTTATCATTGTCAGTATCTCATTTCTGTCACTAGTTTTCACCCTTTTTGAGGTTACAAGAGCTGGATCCTGTTTTTCATTGAAGCCAGTATAAAAACATTGGGGTTTTATAAGACCAGAATGGATAAAAGCTACCATCATCCTTGAGTCACACTCCAACATTTTCCTATATAAATTGATTCACATAAAACTTTTTATACAAATAATTAGGACTTTGGTTGAAACCACCACACTGTAAATGACCTGTGTTGTTATATTATGAAAACTATATTTTATATGTATGCACTTTGCCCTAAACCTCCAGGTTCATTGATTAAGGTTAATCTTAATATACTGGCTAAAAATAAATAAAGCAGCAGTGCAGTCCTGTTGTCAGATATTCACATGGTGACAGAAAACACGAGGTATAAATTGTTGGAGAGAGGCAGGGAAAGAAATGCACGATTTTGTAACACTTCAGACAATTTATTGTTGTAGGACCTTGACCTTACAATAGAAAGTGCCTTGAAGCAGCTGTTGATGTGATTTTTGATGCTATATAAATAAAATTGAATTCAATAAAATGCATCAGTGATGGCAGTAAAGGGCGCTGCAGCACACACAAGCTGTTATATGTGGATGTCAGCTGGGCTGCACTTCTACCCACAGAGAGCATAATGTTTAGAAACCTTTCCATCTGCCCCTGGCTGCCTCCATGGGGACTGCAGATTGAAAATTGGATTCATTACCCTTCTTTTTATGTGAGAAGAATGGTTTCTTTACATAATGTCATAAACTAAGCAAAATCCCAACATGCTTAAATCAGAAAAATTCTTAAGCAGTGTATATAGGCCCCCCAGACAGGACACGTCAGGGATGCTGTGTTTTATGCTGTATTTGTCTTAACCGCCACTTTTCTAAGGCCACTATACTATACAGAGATAAATCACTTGATCTGAAGCTGGTATCCATCTAATGTTTATCTTATTTGGATCCTAACCCTTTATACAGCCTGTATGTTTTGTTTTTTCCATGCAGGTCACTTAGAGGAAGAAGAAAACCTGTCAGGAGAGACATGTCAGTGGGAAGAGGTCACATCACCACTGGACAGTCGAGTCAGAACACTGAAGAAACAACTTACCATGGAGACCAAGGTCAAACAGGGTGCTGAGAACATGATCCAGACTTACACTAATGGCTCATTTAAGGTATTATACAACATGACCTAATTTATGCATAACACAACACACAAAGCCTCATGAGTACCACTTTACACTCTCTCTGAGTGGCTCGTGTGGTAAATTGCTGTTCCATGTAAAACGTTTACAGTAACTGAATACGTTATTAAGAGGAGGATTAGACTTATAGCACTTTGCCAGATGCCTTTATGAATTAGAACTTCTCACTGTGCAGAAAAGTTTGTATTTTTGTTAACAAGGTTCTGCCTTTCTTTATAACTACTCTTTATGAAGTCATTTAGAGATGTTACTTCAAATTTAAAACTTTTATACATTTATAGTTCGAAGTAAGGCATTCTTATGCAGACATTTTGACATATTAGAGAAGGGGAATGGACAGCCTGGGCATAGAACAGGCTAATTATCAGTCTAATTATCAGGCTATGGAAGGCAAAGAGGGAACGAATACTGTTAAGCACCTTGTGTAAATCCTTTTGGAATGACTTAGTTTCTTGTATAAACTGGACAGAGAACATTATACCATCTGAGCTAAATCAAAATGACATATCAAATCGTGTGGCTAACACATATCACAGTTCTAACCTTTCCTGAAAAAGTAAACTTCGCCTATACGGCGTGTGTGTGTGTGTGTGTGTGACCTTTAAGTTACTTTCTTTCTCTTGATCGGAAGTTCTTTGTTGGTTTGTAATTGTTTGTTTTATTTTCCAGGACAGAAAGATGCTCTCTGCAGCCCAGCAGATGTTGCGGGACAGTCGTACTAAAATAGAGCTGCTGCGCATGCAGATTGTTAAAGTCAGTCAAGCCAGAGATGGAGAGGAGGATGGCAAATATGGTAAATCTTATCACTCACACATGTACTGTTCTTGTCTGGGCAGTGTTTTCACTTCAGATATCTTATACTGACAGTTTGTCTTCAGTATGTTTCAATAAACAAAATGAATGTGAAACATAATGGATCAAAAATGACTTGAAAAAATATCAAATTTATATTGAATGCAAATGAATTTGTATTCTGTTCTGTGTCTTATGGTCTTAAGTAGTTGGAGTGTGCTTAGATGTTATGGAAATGTCTGTGAAGGTTCTTAGTCATCCAGGTCATTGTAGTCTAAGGAGTTTGGAAAGAAAAGCGTTTGGACTTCTTTAAGTTAGGTTAGGGTCCCAGACCCAGCCACACACTCAGACAAAAACTGTTTCATCTCAAAGACAAAACTAAACACAAACCTTACAACGTAGTGTGTGCAGTACAGTGTAGTGAGGAATGCTCAGACCTCTACATTGGAGAGACCAAACAGCCACTTCATAAACGCATCTCACAACATAGTGAGATTTCCTTCGGGATTAATAAAGTATTCTGATTCTGATTCTGAGAAGAGCCACCTCAACAGGACAAGACTCAGCTGTTCATCTGCATCTAAAGGTTAAAGGTCATTATTTTGAGGATGCCACTGTTAAAGTTTAGGACAGAGAAGACAGATGTTTGAGATAAGTGAAAGAAGCCATCTATGTCCACTGTGAACGGCTCTCTTTGAACAGAGGGCGGTGCTTACGACATCAGCTGTCTGCCATCTATAATCCAGTTTTGAGATCCCTTCCCAGATGCCTTAATGCCCACTCACATCCTGGGTCATTTGATCTCAGTAAATCACATGATAAGGTGGGGCTACGTCTCACAATGGGTTCACCTGAAACCTTCGCTGATTGTGAACCACACCCATTTTCAGACCTTGGCTCAAGTGATTATGCAGAGGATCAATGGGGGGTCCATGATCCTCTTGGGGACTCTCCACCAATTGCTCTTAGAACTGAAGAAGCTTCTCGGATGAGAGGTGAAACATCCTAAAACAACTTAAAGAAGTCCAGATGCTTTTCTTTCCAAGTTCCTCAGACATGTTATGGAAATTTAAAGTTCATCAGTGATGGCTGGTGAGCTGATCTCATGACAACTACACAAATTTTATCTTCTGAACAAGACCATAAGATGCAGTTGAAAAATACATTAAAAAGAGAGTACTATTGTGTTTGTCACAGGACCGAGAAATCAACCCCAAATTAAGACTGTCCACTGTGGTTCTCACTTTTGAGATGGTGTTTTCATCTTGGAACTTCTTACAGTGTTATGATAACATTTAGGGCCAAAGGTGTCACTAAATGGCTTCAATAGGAAATAATGCACGCAATATGCACACAATTGTTTCTCGTGCAATAATTGATATTTTACTAATTTTAGTACAGTGGTGATTACTGGTGGTGGTGGTGGTGACTGTTTTGTTCATCTGCACTAAGGTCACTCTATGGAGATGATCAGTCCTGTGGAGCTGCGAGTTGCTGAATTAATTCACCACATGAAGATTGAATCAGCTGTAGCAGAAGGAGCCAAAAATGTGGTGAAGCAACTGAACGGGCATAAAGTCCAGGACCGCCGAATACTTGCAGAAGTGGGTACCAGCTGGAATGTCTTTATTTTCACCAACCTAACAGCTACAACAAGAACACGATGGCTATAAATAGTTAGAATGAACATTTTTGAACTACAATTGAGTTCAAGGTGACCTTCACAATATATTCCACAATATGTAGAACTGCCCTGGGATGGCTGTGGCTTGAGTGGTAGAGCAGGTGATCTACCAATCACAGTCAATCCCTGGTTCCTAGATACTAAAGCCTGAATTGCCTCTGGTGCATTCATGAATGTGTATGTGTGTGAATGTTTGTTAAATGCACTTTGCTGTATGTGTGGTTTGAGTGCTCAAATTGATTTGAGAGGTGCTATAGAAAAACCAATCCATTCACTATTTGCCTTGATTTATTTGAGCAATATCTCTAAAATTAGAAGCATCCTTTGTCAGGGTGATACTGAAGCACACATATTCATGTTTTTTTGTCATTTAAAACACTTCTGGTCAGTTTCATGTTAGATTAGATTAAACTACTTTTGTTTAGTAGTTTTTAAGTGAACCCAAACAATTGGGTATTGCTGTTTTTTCAAATTGTGTTCACATTTACAGTCTATGTCTATGTACAGCTCAAGTTTTTATGATATTTTTCCATAGTGAGCAGATTACAATACACATTTCCAAATTTCAGTGCGTAATTATAAATCTGATTACATGCATACATACAGATTGAGATATAATCTGAACTGAATGTTTGCAATTAATTGCAACATAATTATTACTATTGTTGCATCAGAGATTGCATTTCTGTATCCTTCAGGCCCAGGCACGAATGCAGGAGTCATCTCAAAAGGTGGATTTGTTGCGTCTCTCGTTGGAGAGACGTTTATGTGAGCTGGCTCATGATCATCCCACACATGCTACCATTAAAGAGGCTTTAATGGTAGGCACCTCACCTTCTTACGGCACTCCAAAGAAACGGTCCCAGGCTCCAGCCTCTTCCTCATCTTCATCCTTCTTCAACCCAGCCAGTCTAACAGGTTGTTTAAGTCTGCTAGTCTCTTTTAAAAGCAAAATTTTGATAGTCATTTTATTAAGTAACCGTTCATAACAACATTAAAAAAAATTTACATTTTTTTTCACCTGAAGCAGCTTTCCATTGAATTTTCAGTAATGTTATCCCAAGTAAGAACTAATGACTGAAACGCTTTTCCTTAGGTCGTTTGGAGGTATGTTTGATGGGTTGCCAGGACCTGTTGGAGTCAGTTCCAGGCCGTAGTTGTGTGACCAGTGTCTCAACCACCTCTGGGAGCATCTCGGATGTGAAGTCTCTGAAGGTACGAACCGGACGCAGTGCCAAGGCTGAAGACATTTCCTGTAAGTCAACTTTTTTTTTCTTTTTCTTTTTTTTCTTTTTTTAGACCTTTTATTTCTCTTTGTGTCATAAAATGCAAAAATCCAGTAATGGACACTTGAACTAACAAGTAATTGGTTTCAGAAATGGTAAAACTGACAAGACAAACATGTTTGTATTTCAATACAAACCTGAAGTTGTAGCCGAGTATTAGCTACATTTCCATTAGATTCCATTAAAAATATTTTGTCCCAGTAACTGAAAGGTTCTTTCAGACTGTTGGTTATCTGGATCTAGATGTCTATCTCTCTGTGTTAGCCCTATGACAGGCTTGCAACCTCTCTAGGGTGTTTCCCGCCTGTCACCCCATTGTAACTGGGAGGGGCTGGATTAAGTGGAAGAGAATGAATGGATGGACTGTACACAAAACAAACTGCTCCTGTCCATTAGGTAGCTATTATGGGAATTATTGTGACACACTTACAGAACTGTACAGTTCTGTAAGTGTGTTATGCTACAGTTGGTGGTGATTTACTGCTTTTCAGAAGAAAAAAAGAGATGAACAAAAGCAGCAACGCAGATTCAAAACACTTGAAGGATACACAAAAACAATCAGAATCAGAATACTTTATTGATCCCTAGGGGAAATTATGTTGGTTACAGTGCTCCAGTACAAACAGTAACAAAAACAGACATACAAGAAGTAAGAAATTGCACAAATACAGACAGGCTCAAGGTTTTTTCCACCAAAATTGTGGGACTGAAAATAAGCAAAAGTATTTTACAAGCTCTGTAGACATGGCCAAATCTTTGCACCATTTTAATTTCAGTCAGCTTCCAGCCAGTCAGGAATGTGGCAGTCTTGTGGGTATTACTGCTGCATCTTTAACTCTGCAGACCCCACCCAAGAGTTACTGAAGTTTAGGGGCATTTCCGTGGGTAACATAATTCATACTAAAAGTAGTTTTAATCCTGGTCCTCATGACTATGATCTAAATTATTTACATTTCCTAGTTCCTCGTGGAGACATTCATCTTTGAAGACTTGATAATATGAGTCTTTCTTACTGAGGTAGATGTTTCTCCGTATACATTTTGAAAGATTTCTGAATTGCTTGTTTTCCTGTTTTTATGACATTAGGTCTAAGAAATGTAGTAAGCCCTGAATTTATGGTAACTGACAGGTTTTCGTTTTGATTAGTTTTCTGACTGCATCTGTTTTCTTTGTTTTTCAGCGGAGATAAGTGCAGTGCTGAAGGTTGACAACAGAGTAGTGGGGCGCACACAGTGGAGACAGCTGGGCAAAGAGGCCTGGGGCCAGAGCTTCAGCATTGAACTAGAACGGGTCAGTGGCTGCCATGTACTTGCTTTAAGGATCATTTCAAATCATCACTAATATATTATGACAGCGTTAAATTAGTTAGGTTTCAGACTACACGTGCATGCAAATACGTTATCCTCTGTCAAGAACAACGCAGCTTTGAAGAAAGTGATTTGCACCTGCACCAGAATTCAGTTGATTGTGTCTTTGCCCATTCTCTATCGCTTCACCAATTTCAGGGGATTTGGCTTGGTAGTTTTCTTTGTTTTATGAAGAAAAAAAAATCTTGTTCACAGACAGCATGGGATCTCAGCTTGGTGAAGGAAGGAAGAATCTTTTATCCTCAGATTCACAGCATGGGCTTGTTCTTCTCCAACTCCACAGTTCACTTCTTTTCTTCTTAGCGACTGCTGGAGTAGCCTTCCATGTGCCGCTTTTTAACATAATCGATATTTATTCTCATCAAATTTAGTTTTAGCTCCCTTTAAACCAACTTTGTTCTGATTGACAGAGACTACATTACAAACTGGAATAACATGAAAATAGTTTAAAAAAAAAAAGTAGTTGTTGCCCATTCTTTCTCTATAAAGAAAGTTTGAACCTTTTGTTTCCAGTGTTTCTGTATTTATTTTATTATAAAAGGTGAGTGTATCCAGAAAAGTAGAACTGCTTATTTATTTATATAAATCCAATTTTTGTTTAGTGAATCAAGGCATAAAATCCTGATAATTCAACTCACTGTATTTTTCTTGCAACTGTCATTCTGTAAACAAATTTGTCCTTGTGAAGAGTCAAATTTCAGACATAAAAATCATTTTAGAAGCAGAATGTGTAAAAGTAACTTTTTGTATAATGTTTAGGACAAGAATTCACACACTGTTTTCCTTTGTGGTCAGAGATATTGTATAACCTCTTCATACTAGGTTAGCTACTAGTACACATCCGAACCTACCTAAGAAAGGTTTATCTAAAAGTCAATTTTTGAGATTGATGTGATCATACCAAACCACAGAGGGCTTTAAAGAAAGAGCGGTAGAGATCAACATGTTTTGCAAGGGGATATCCTCTTGATTGGGTGGAACTAGTATAAAATTCTGCTCTAAAAAGTTCTTGTTCATATTTATTATCTAGTAGTCAGAAGAAACAAAAAAGATTTTCTGTTACTTGCGTAAATACTTACTCCTCCTAGAGTCTGATTGTGAGGTCTTTTTTTTTTTTTTTCTGAAGCACTGACACATATAAAAGTCGGATCCTGAACTGACTCAGACCTGAAATCATGCTGATTTTGTGTCTAACAAAACATGAGATAGTCAGCCGTGTCAGAGTCCTCTTGTAAATAATTCCCCTCTCGCCCCTGCGGGCGATCTTTTGTTCCTTCAAGCTCGGGTCCTCTACCAGAGGCCTGCGAGTTTGAGGGTCCCATGGGGTATCTTTCCTGTTACTAGGACTGCGCTCTTGTGGACAGAGATCTCGGCTTTATGTTACTGGGGTCTGCTGGAGCCACTCGCCTAGTTTGGGAGTCACCGCACCTAGTGCTCCGATTACCACTGGGACCACTGTTACCTTCACCTTCCACATTTTCTCAAGCTCTTCTCTGAGCCCTTGGTACTTGGTACTCAAGCTTCTTGTGTTCCTTTTTCCTGATGTTGCTCATTACATCTGTCACTACGGCCATCTTCCTCTACCATGTCCAGTTGGGTAGCCATCACTATTTTGTCCGTCTGTATCTGGAAGTCCCACAGGATCTTAGATTGGTCATTCAGCGTCTCCCATTTTGACCTCATGACTTCCAGGCTATACTCTGCACAGATGTTTCTGTATACTCTGCCGGCTACTTGGTTATGGCAGTCCATTTGTGCTGGATTGTCTCAGGGGTAACTTTACAGAGCCTGCACCTGGGGTCTTGCCTGGTATAGACCCCAGCCTCTATGGATCTTGTACTTAGAGCTTGTTCCTGTGCTGCCATGATTAAGATAAGATAACCTTTATTAGTCCCACGTGTGGGAAATTTGTTTTGTTACAGCAGTGGACAGAAAAATTAGAAAAAAAAATAAACACTGGAATAAGATATCAATAAGATACTGTACACAATAGAATAGAATAAAATAAAATACTATATACAATTGAATAAAATAGAATACAAATGCTATATACAATTGAGTATAATACAACGATCCCAGAGGTCGTTGGTAGCATGGATCTTATTCTTACTGTTCACCTGACTTCTCAGCACTTGCCTGACCATCTGTGTTGTTGTTGCAGCTTTCCTAGCAGCCTCTTCATGGTTTGCATTTGCTTGTAGTATTACCAGGTATTTGTAGTTGTTCACAATGTTGGCAATGTTGCCTTCTGGTAATTCGATCCCCTCAGTTCTGACTACCTTCCAGTTCTTTGTTATCATCCGACTACACTTCTCTAATCTGAACGACATGTCCTTGCTGGAGATGCTGGTGGTATGAATTGATGTCTCATTCACTCTTGGCATACAGCTTGATGTCATCCATGTAGGGTAGGTGGCTGACAATTGCTCCATTCTGTAGTCAGTACCCGTAGGTAATCTTGTCAATGATCTCACTGACGGGTTCAGGCTTATGCAAAACACCACTGGGGACAGAACATCTTCTTGGTAGATCCCCACACTTGATGGCGACCTGTTTTATGGGCTTCAAGTTGGCCTCTAGTGTCATACGCAACATCCCCATTGAGTTCCTGGTGAAGGCTCTTGGGGTCCTGTTGATCTTGTACTGTTCGAGGCATTCCAGGTTCCAGGTGTGGGTCATTGAGTCATAGGCCTTCTTGTAATCATTCCAGGCAGTGCACAGGTTGGTCATTCTAGTCTTTCAGTCTCAGGCGACTACTCTGTCTACCCTTAGCTGGTGTTTTGCCCCTCTGGTATTCTTGCCAATTCCTTTCTGTGCCCCACTCATGTATTGAGCCATGTGCCTGTTTAGCTTAGCTGCTTTGATGCCTGACAGCAGCTTCCATGTGGTACTGAGGCAGGTTATTGGCTGCTATTTGGATGGGACTGGTCCCTTCTGGGGGTCCTTGGGGATCAGGACTGTCCGGCCTTCAGTAAGCCATTCTGGGTGTCTCTCATCAACTAGTAGCTGTTTCATTTGTACTGCCAGATGCTCATGCAGTGCAGTGAGCTTCTTCAGCCAGTAGGCATGAACCATGTCGATGGCTGGTGCTGTCCAGCTCTTCATACTGGAGACCCTTTCCTCGAATTTCTGCCACTGTGGTGGTTACTGGACCATGTTCAGTGAGGTTGCTGCGGTCTGCTCTTAGATCCACTAGCCACTGAGCATTGCCTGTAGGACTATGTAGCTGTGTTTTCTGGAATAACCTACAAAATGTTAGGCAGAAGGAGTTTGTGCTGTGGTTGACTGGTGTAGATGACTAATAGAAAAACCTCATAATAAAAAAATTTTTTTTTAGATGTAGGTATGTATAATAAATTATCACTTGACCATAGTTGTTTGAGTCAAGTTGTTTTTTATTGTTCTATTTTATCTTGAACTCATGAAGTTCCTCACACCAAATGTAATAATTCAGAAACAAGAATCAATGCAAATTAAATATGAAATGATGAAAATATCTGAATTGTAATCCACGTGTGTGCACATTTGTGTGCATGTTTCTGTGTTTTGATCTAGTCCAGGGAGCTGGAAATTGCTGTGTACTGGAGAGACTGGCGAGCATTAAGTGGAGTGAAGTTCTTGCGGCTGGAAGACTTCCTTGATAACCAGCGACATGGCATGTGTCTCCAGCTGGAGCCACAGGGCGTTCTCTTTATTGAGGTTCTCCTGTTCATATCTAGTCTTCAAACTGTTTATTTACCTCTGTGGCATGCATAGAC